TTAGAAAATTAATTATATAATATAATAATACTAAAAATTTGAAAAAAAATCATGCTGTCAAAAGAAAAATTAAATCAATTTTTTATATTATTAGAAGTTATGCGGTCTAATTAGTAATTTATTGATCCAATTAATTATCCAATAATCTAATAATTTGATCAGATTGATGACCGGTTCAAATTTAAAATATTAATTTTCTTTGATCTATATATAATTTCTTCTTATTTTTATTTCTTAAAAAATATTTAAATATATTTATCATATTTTTATTAAAGAAAAATATAAATCACATCTATAAAATTATATCTAATTTTTTTTTTTGTGAATAGAATAAAATATGGTGTAAGAAATTCATTTTTCTTAATTTCCAGTTGTGTATAAAAAAGTAGAGAGAATGACAGAATATTAACAAAAGTTTGAAAGTTTTTCTTGGTTATAGAAACTTTTGTATCAATATTATAAAGTGCATAACTGGATTGAATGATTGAATTGTTATTTTTGTTGTTGTGTTACTCCTATTATATGATGGATTTGAGAGTGACGCCACTTAAACTGGAAAGTGGGGATGGGGTTGCTTTTTCCAGAAGGCAGGATTCAATTGAGTGTTAATCATCAATTTTTAGTTGATAGTTGATACACACACGAAACGAAACATTATTTAACAAATGGAATCGAATCCTATTGCCAAATCCCATTCCTTTCTTTTGACGACTTATTTTTCTAAAAGAAACAAAAATATTCGCCAACTAATCTTGTCTGTGTAGCACTAATCCCACCAACTTACATGTATATTGCTAAATATAGTTGGAATTTTCCTAATTATAAAATAAGAATCATATATCTGCTTCAAAGCTAAATCCCTAATCATAAGTTTTTAACGGATTTAGCTTGAACCATATATATAATTCTTACATAGAAATTATTCATTTAAGATGCATAAACAACATCTTTGGTAAACTTATACAATGCTACCCTTCTATAATTACAATGCACATCTCACTCACAAATGAAATTTTCTCACAAAATCGAGTTCTGGATGATTTGAAATAAGAAATGAAGTCTCTATTTATAGATAAGAAGAATTCTCAAAACGGAAATTTCATTTAATGAATTTGGCTGTTGTAGATTGAATTTTTGTTCTAATCGATTAGATATTAAAAATATAGTTGTTTCTGGTCATTTAAAAGAAAAAAGAATATTGCTAGCCATTGTACATCATTAGTGTGTTGTCTAAATAACTTAGGGCTTACGTTTCAACCGTTCTAATCGATTAGCATAATAATCCAATCAATTAGATTAGTCAATATTTTCTTTTAGCTATTTCCATCGCTCCTAAGTCATCTGACACAATTTAAAGACAATTTTAAAAATATTTTCTCTTGATTAAGGTATTTGAAAAAAGGTTTTAGTGTGGGGTGTTTATAGCCATATACTTTTATGAAAAAAAACCTTTGCTTTTATAAAAGGCCACTACTTACTAAATTAGGAGTTTAACTCCTTCTACAAGCTTTTTGTCGGATATCATCTTCTGTGTTGACCTGCTTGAGATCTCTTGAGACTTTAGATGATTTCTCTTGGTTTGCCTTCTTTTTTTAATAGTCAAGTTCATCAAACCTTTACATTCATGGTTTACATCTTTGACCGCTTAAGTGCTCTTTGACTTATTCTTTTTTGTACTCTTATCATGATGGAAGTCTTCTTAATATTTTAATTTGTAATTGTCATCATCAAAAGAAAACCTATTGCCTCCAAAATAAGATTCCACAAATATATCATGAGAAGAAAAAGAAATTGAATAAAAAAAACATGAATTCTCATTTGATTGAATTAAAGGTTAGGACTCTTATTTATAATAATAGTTGTGATCTAACATACTTTAGATTTAATTGAAATAGGCGTTAAGAAAATATAATAACAATGATTGAATGATATCAGAAGATAAAATTAATTCTGTCAAAATTCATTAAAAAAAAAACATCAATTGGAGATTCATATTGCAAATTCGGTGTTATCAATGACTGTGTTAAAAAGTATTCATCTGAACCACTTTCGACTGACGAAGTGGATGCACGTCTGGTTGGTTGTGCTAACCATGAAAGTGACGAAGTTGAAGCATCTCGAAAATTATTGGATAAAGATTCTATTACTAAGATTAAATTTTGATTTGCTTATGACAGAGAGTTCAACATCTACGCAATCGGAAAATCCAAAAATATAATTGAAATCATTACCTCAGTGTCTTAGATACGAATTTTTTTCAATGGAGAATGAAATCATCTTGTCATTATTAATACAATATTAGGCAAAAATGAAACATAAAAACTACTTGTTGTGCTAAAATGTACCCTAAAGTGATTGGGTACACCATTGAAGACTTAAAAGGAACACGTTTCTTTATCTACGCATAGGATTATGTTAGAAGAGGACTATAAGCTATCACGAGAGTATTTGATGAGTTTGAACCCCTACATGAGAAAAGTAGTAAAAAAGAAGGTGCTGAAATTTCTTGAAGCTGAGGTGATTTATCTGATTTCTGACAATATATGAGTTAGCCCTCTACAAATAATATCAAAGAAAGGAGGAATAACTATTATAAAAAAAATGGCAAAGATAAATTTGTAGCAACTTGAACAATAATGAGTTGGAAAATATGTGTCGACTATCGAAAAAAAATAAAGTTACCTTGAAAGACCATTTTCCACTCTTTATTCATCGACCAAATGTTAAATCGTTTAACAAAATATTCACACTTTAAGAGAAAACATCATTTACATGCCATAATGATATACACATATAAGTAAATGTTTTTGAAATTATGCAATGCATATGTGACGTTTTAGTGCTGTATGACGTCATTTTTTTCTAATTTTTTAAAAGATATAAGAAAATTTTGTATGAATAATTTAGTATATGGATCAAGGTTTGATGATTGTCTTGCCAATATAAAAAAAGTATTCAAAGGTGCATAAATTTAATCTTAAATAGAAAAAATATCAATTTTATGATAAAAAAGAAATAATACTTAGATATCTGGGACTAATATGAATAATTTTGTAGTTAGTTTTTAAAAAAAAAAAGAACTATTTATAAATCAATTTGAAAAAGAGTTATGGAGAAAAAAACAAGAAAAAAAAGTTTGGTAATCTTATTTTTTAAAATTGTTTTAAAGTTATATTATATTACAAATTTGTCATTAATAAAAAAATATAACACTTTTTTTTCTCTTCTTTTAATTTTTAAAATCAAAAATCAAAAATCAAAAATCTCTAAAATCAATTTTAATTTTTTAATTTTTAAAACCCTTAAATAGAGATATAGATCTTATTCAAACAAACTCTTAATTTTTTATCAATTTCATATTAGTGATACTTATTATCATTTAAACAATTAGCTCTATTATTATTAATTTGAATTCAAGAATGAGTTTTCACCTTCTCACGAACGAAGAATATCACTTTATATAAATTCTAGATACTTTATATTTAATTAAAGATTTAATGAATTTGATGTATAGATATAATAGTGGACGGTTCATAGTTTAATTAATATATTTTAATATTATATTAGAATTTGACCTAACTCATTCTTATAAAATTGATTCTATTTAAATTCAAATATTCTATATTTAACTAATGTAGGATTTACAATCTTTCTAATAATGATGAATCTTCTGTGACCACTCAATGATTTTCCATTATTAAGTATATATTGATTTTCATTTTTGGAAAATCCAGAATTAATCATAGATATGTAAAATTAGTTTTAAATGATTTTAAATGTATTTGATTTATCAAAAGTAGAATTGATTATGTTTTTAGAATTAATTCTATTTAAAACTAAAATTTATAATTTATATTTTTAAAATTAATTGTGAACAATTTTTATATTATAATTTATTATTTAATTGAATTAATTTATTTTTATATAAATATATTAAAATATAAATTAATTTTACTAAACTCAATTTTATTAAAACTAATTCAACCAAATTTAATTCTATTAAAATCAATTGTATTCGTAATCAATTCGAACACAAATGTTGTGTTTTGTTTGTTGGTGTGTTTTGACTCTTAAACATAACAACAATAGTGTGTAAAATATATTTTATATATATTTTCTCCATTATACTAAATAAAATTTTAATTATTTATCTATCATAATTGATTAGTAATATAAAAATAATTTATGTCAACATTTCATATGAAATATATTAAGGCAGGGATGCATTCTAATTAGTCGGCTACAGACAAAACAAAAAAGAGAGTATAAAAGATTTGGTATAATGATCAAACTTCAAAAAATATGAAAGAGGTTTGAGGATCATATTTTAATTTAGAAACTTTATAAAAAAAAAATTGGGAAAGAAGCGCGTATTTTAAGAGAAAAAGTGCTGTATATCTGGATTGCAAAATGCAGCAAAACACGTGCTAATGATGACGTGTCAGCGCGTTCTCGTTGGGGCGGTTCTTAAACATGAGCGACGAAATTGAGATTCACGTTTATAATCCCAAATTTTCACTTTTCCCTAAAAATGATTTTCAAAGTTTGTTCTATTTCCGTATAATCTTCATTATCAATTCATACAATCATATACATTTTTTCATGTTCTTCCATTAAATTTATTAGAAATTCATAAGAAAATTATTTGTAAAGATGATTTTATGAAATTTATAGTGAGACAATTATATCTATTTTTTCAACCAGACCTATTACTTAAACCTCACGAAACTTTCATAAAAACATAAGAAAAGAGTCTTATATGCAAATATCATAATCATTAATGTCAACTTTGTAATAAAACCTAACTATGTCGGTGAATTGCAAGAGACTAAAATTAAATGAATAGTACAAGACGTGTAAAATAAGTGATGCATATAATAATGACAAAATTAAAACAGATAAAAGAAACAGAGTTGCTCTGTTTTTTTATATATACATGATAAACTTTATTATGTGGTTAACCTTAGTTTTGTTTCTCATCTTCAACTTGTTTGGTGATAATGGCAATATCTTCCTTCCTCTTCAAACTGATATTGCTGTTTCTCACCATTCATGGTTAGTTCTCTCTACTTCACCATCTTCTTTAGTTCTACATGATTATGTATTTTCTTAACCTTTGAATAGGAACATGATTTTGTTCCTTAGTATTCTTAGCTGGTTCATGTTTTTTTTTTTTTTTTGAGTTTGAATTTTTTTTAACAATTTTCTTGAATTAGTTATTATTTGTTCTTATGAAACTTTATTTTTATTTTTTTTCTTTTCAGATTTGTTTATGCAAAGTCATGGCCTAAATTTTGGAATAAACTATGGACAAATAGCAAACAATTTACCCTCTCATTCACGTGTAGCAGCACTTTTAAAATCATTGAATGTCACAAGAATAAAACTCTACGATGCTGATCCAAATGTTCTATCAACATTCTCAAATACAAATGTTGAATTCATGATAGCAATTGGAAATGACAATCTTCAAAACATGAGAGACCCTATGAAAGCAGAAACATGGATTCAACAAAATGTTCAACCTTACATTTCCAAAACCAAAATCACAGCAATTAACGTAGGAAACGAGGTACTAGGTAACAATGATCTCAACAGTTACATAAACCTTCTTCCAGCAATGCAATCAGTGTATAATGCACTTGTTAATCTTGGTTTATCTCAACAAGTTACTGTCACAACTTCGCATTCATATGTCATTTTGTCGAATTCATTTCCACCTTCATCCGGTGCTTTTAAAGAGGATTTAGTTCAATATATTCAACCACTTCTTAGCTTCCACGCGCAAACGAAATCTCCTTTTTTGATCAATGCTTATCCTTTTTTCGCATACAAAGGTGATCCAGAACATGTTTCATTAAACTATGTCTTGTTTCAACCAAATCCTGGTTCTGTTGATCCTGTTACAAGTCTTCGTTATGATAACATGTTATATGCTCAAATTGATGCGGTTTACGCGGCTATAAAGGCGTTGGGCCATACCGATATCGAGGTTAAGATTTCTGAGACGGGTTGGCCTTCTAAAGGTGATGCTGACGAGGTTGGTGCTTCACTGCAGAATGCTGAAATTTATCATACAAATTTGTTCAAGAGGATTGAGATGAGACAAGGAACTCCTGCAAAGTCTTCTGTTCCTGTTGATATTTATGTTTTTGCACTTTTTAATGAAGATTTGAAACCTGGTCCTTCTTCTGAGAAAAACTATGGTCTTTATTATCCCGATGGTACTCCGGTTTATAACATCGGTTTGCAACAAACTCAAGGCGGCTATTTTCCAGAAATGGTTATTGAATCCAATTCCAATGTAAGTATCTTAGTAAATTTGTAGAGTATAATATAATATGTTTGACAAATTTTTTCATGTATCTAATTCTCAAATTATGCAGATTTTGTCCAACAATTTTGTCTTCTACATACTTGCATTATTATTGGTGTTTGTTTTGGAGCTTAGAAGATTTTGATGAGGAAAAAATGAAAATCAAGAAATTTTAAATGGATTATTCTTTTCAGGAGGACTTGTTGAAGGTGAGAAAAATTTTGAATTTGTTTACAGAATTTTTAAGAAAATGAAAGTATGATACCATGATTTTTGTGTTGTAGATGAGTTTCTTCTTCATTTTTAGGTCACATAGCAATAAGTTGCAATGGAACATGTTTTTGTTTGACTTTCTAATAGTACTATAATAATTTTGAACCAAGAAATACCTTAATGGTATCAATTTAAGCTTTTAATCTTTCTAATAATGCTATAGTCGTTACTATCTTGGTAACGAAGTTCGGTCAATTTTGTTTATATCTCTAAATGTCGAGCGACTAGGATCAGTTTAGAGTTAGAACTTGTATGTACTGTTATCCAATATTAACATTATCCCGAAGCATACATCGATCGACCTTGTCCACTTGTGAATTTTTTCCAACAATGCCACACTCCTGAAACAATTTTTCAATAATGGCACATTCTGAAACGAATTTCCCAGAATGCCACACACAGTAGGTTCATGTCATTTCAAATGGCGCAAACGTGGATCTCACGCCATCTGAGAGCATATGATTCACGCCATCTGTCAGCTGGGTCCCACGTTTGCGCCATTTGAAATGGCGTGAACCGCTGTGTGTGGCATTCCGGAAAATTCGTTTTAAGATGTGGCATTGTTGAAAAATTATTTCAAAAGTGTGGCATTGTTGGAAAAAATTTTCCACTTGTTAGTAACTAAGAGGACACTCTAATGATAATATGGTGATGGGTCTCCATCTTTCTTATCTTCCAACTTGCAAATTGTAATCATGCATGTGCATGTTCATCCGTGAATAAAATGATTCTTGTCTTCAACTATACAAAAGTCCAAATTCGGTTATACAAAAGGATGAAAGAAAGACCTCTGGATTCCTCTTGCCAGATAACCAAACAACATGAATTTTTGTCAATGTTTTTGAACCTTATCTCATACATGGAATCCCCTTTTTCCACCACTTTACCCTTTCTATCATATTTTTTAGGATTGTGATTAAAGATCTTCGATTCTAAATTGTCCGATCTTAATCTAACGGTGTTTCTTGTCACGTGTGTGAGCTCGGGTGAATTGTGTTGTTACATTTGATGGTAATGTTGAGTATGATATACTAGTACAAGTTAGAAATTTCAAAAAAGTTGTGCAGATGTGACATTTGAACATATGAACGGTTAATGGAGAAAAAGAACTTTCAAAGGAACATAATTTAGAACTTTAATCATGTTGGTTAATTTGTTGGACTAAAATAATGTTTGTATATGAAAAAGTGAGTCACAAAAAGTGGGCTGGAGACATGGACATGAATGTTCCTTTGAAAATGAATTTGTAAAATTTCTTACATCATCATAAGGTTCCACAGATACAAATTATACAACTACTATGAAATTTTATAAATATCAAATAGTGATGATTGCTAAGTGCCTTTATCTATGCTTGGCCTTTTGCTGCATAAAAACTAGTATTATCTTTTTTGATATTTTACATATTCTCAAATGTGTGCATTGTTGGAACTTTGCAGGGAGACAAAAGCAGAAGAGTTTTTTATTTATTTGGAAAGCAAGTCCTGTATTTTTTGTACACAACCATTGGAGGAACTTTTTGATTCTTAGTTTATACTACTTGATTGTGTAACCATTGTTGATTTCACAGTTTAGCATTAATTAAAGGTAGATCATAGAATTTTTATTTGTTTATAGAGAAATTAGATGTGTAATATGGAGTATTGTGTTTCTAGGTAGAACCTTAGATGTGTAATATGGAGTGTTGTATTTATTTTTTTGACACAAAGTTTATATATAGAAAATAGAATATCATTTTAATTTAGATAGAAAGAAAATAAGGACAATGTTGTCTATGCAGATGAAATATTTTTGCTTACGCTTTGATTGCAAAGAAATGATGAAATGACTACAATGAAGATATAGTATGAAACTCAAAAGAAGGCACTTTTGATTATTTTATTTTGTGTGCACTCTTAGCTTGCAATGATCTAATGGGGGGACCTCTTCACCTACAACTGTTTTGGGCTTATGCACGAATAATATCATGGAATATTAAATGAACCACTCAAGTTTGAAAATGAAATTCTACCATACTTTGGCAACTACTTGAATGATTGCCCATTGCTCCAACTTAATGTGGCTGTCACTTGTCATCAATAGGGGACTTTGTGGAGCCTTAGACCTTGAGTTAAGATTAAGTTATGATAATATTTTCAATAATGTAAACATTAAAACTTCCTTTATAGATTATCTTGTATCAAATACTAGTATGATCAATTCAAATAAGATTATGTCTTATCGTTTTGACTGATTTAACGATGATGGAATACAGCAGAAAAGGATGAAGTATATTTGATCTTTTTCGAATGTTTCATTCTAAGAATATTTTTGTAGCGGTTGAAATGTTTTAAGACTAAGTTATTGGATTGACTTAACTTATTTAGATTAAAATAAAAATCGCCACTGCACTTTATTGTTTCTGAAATAATGGGGAAAAAACGAAAAACCCAAAAAATGGAGAAAAAATTCAAGGTAAGGGGGTTGGTTATGCAAAGGGAAGATATTAACACCCTAAACATCTACAGTACGCCGCAAGAATTTCTTTGTAAAATCTGTATATTTTGGCTATAAAAAATGTTGTATAAAAATGGATGGTGGAGGTGAGAAAAGAAATATATTTATTTTATGATTTTTGCACCCGCCGCGGTTGCGAACCTTTAGTGTTTACGTACCACTTTTTCGTGCAATAGGGGATCATGGTACACGTAGTTCCTCTTTTAAAAATTTAAAACACAAATGTGTTGGTTAATTTTATGAGGTAAAATATCATCGTCATTGTCCGTGTGGAAAATATACATACTACCCACAATTATGAGAAAGGAGAATTTGCATCATCTCAAAGTGGGGGATATGACTTGGATTTTAAAATCAACAATGTCTCACTCAACACCCAAGTGAAAAATATCTCTCTTCACTACATATTGTAGAAGTATAGTTGTTTGCATCACTACAAGGATTGACAAGAGTTCGATCTTTTTTTTTAGAAAAGTTTAAAGATGAAAGCCAAAGTGGCAAAATGGTTTGAAATGAGATTTGACTATCCAAGCTTGAGAAAATGAATGGGAAATGACCCTCTATTTATAGGTAATCAAATGGAATGTTCAAGCGTGTGAAATGATGAAGTTTGGAGGGAAATCGTGTGAAGTTGCAAACAAGAAAAGTGTGACTTCAAACTTGATCAAAACTCATCTAAAACGCACGTTTTGCTATGCTAATCACTTCTGGAAGTTCACTAAACATGTTTAGAAGCAAAAACGCGCAGAAACAAAGCATTTAGAAGCCAAATCAAGGATTTCAAACTTCTGACTTGGTGAAAAATTCAGTTTCAAATTGTCAACTTCTGACCAATGGCATTCTCAGCTCAAGGGGTCTTAGGACATGATTCTTGGTGCTTTAGAAAGATGAGGTTACAAGCTTTGCAATGGAAAAATAATGGAGTTAAATGGATGCTTGAGCTGAAAGTTGTGTTGAGTCAAAGTTGGAGAAAAGAGTTGACTTTCCATACTTAGAAATATTTCAAGTTCTTCTTCAAAAATGACATATAATGTCTTGCATTCAAACATGGTCTTCCACTTGGAATTTTCTCTTGACCAATAACGATGGCATGAAGTAGATCTCTTGAATTACATTTTGAAACTTGAACCATTCAAAATCTTAAAAATTTGAGAGAGTTATGAATTGTTGAAGTTGGCAAAAAATCATGAAATGACCTATAATCTTTGCCTCTTTAAGGAAACTTCCATCCATTTTCTCACTTTGCATATAAAATAAGGCATAAAGTTCACACCTTCAAGATCATTATGGAAAAAGAATGGGATCAAGGTGATAAACATTGACCAAGTTATGATCATTTGAAGTCACACATGGAAAATTGGGGATTCATCTGGAGGACTTGTAATATTTCTTCCTCATTAAGCCTCTTCCTCATGGAAAATCCTTGGAACTTTTGAAGTGATTTATTGATAACCCTTTGAAGATAAGGATGTCTTTGGAATCGCTCAAAAATACCAAAATATGAGCAAGATACATTTCTTTGAAGTTCAAAACCCTAGCTCCTTAGATCAAGAGAATGCTTTGAGGAACTTTGACAATTTTGAACAAACTTCTTGTACTAACACAAATGATTTGTAAATAGAAGTTGTTGATGATGATAATGAGAACTCATATCCACCAAAACCACTTCCATGTCTTGAAAATTGAGAGAAATATGCACTTGTGACCAATGGGAACAAAGCCTTGTCCAAGCATGACAACTTCTTCAATCAACCCCTTGTACTTTTCAACCAAATTTGATAACCTTGAAATATGGTGAACCAAATAACCTTGCCATGCAATTTATTCCAAACAAATCCAATTATGAGGTTTGAAATTCTCAAGCTTTATTGACTAGGGCGTGGAAATAAACTCATGAACCCATGGGGTAGCTTGTTAAATCTCATTGCCTTTACCTACATGGATAACAAGCAAGACAAACCAACATTGCATTTTATTAGTTAAAAGAAGAAATCAAGAAAAAAATATTCATGATCACAAAAGAACATAAGGTGCTTGGTGATTCCTCAAAAGGGCAAACCTAAATATAGGGAGGGGAACCAAGAATCCTAGTATGATCTTGTTGTGAATGAATCAACATGGTATGATGAAGGGATCTTAGGGGCAGAAATTGGGGCACAACAGCTGACCTTATTTAAGTTTCTTCTATTTGGAGATATGAAGGTTAAAAATCTTCGTGTCGACGCGATCGAAGATACTTAAATATAAAACAAACCCTATTTTTGGCCCTAAGATTCCATGCAAATGTTTATGATCATGAATGCATATGAACAAGACCAAAGAGACGCAAAACACCACTGGGGATGTAACAATAATAAAGAAACAAGAGAGAGACCC